TGCTTTTGTGAGAAGGGAAGCGATTTCCTTTAGAAACATCAGTATCACAGCGCCATTCCTGCAGAAGAGGCAAGAGTGCCCACTCCATGGGAGGGGTGTCACACAGGCCCAGAAGGGGTGACCACGAAGGGTGCGAGGCACAGTGATTCTGGTACAGGAAACAGTAGCAGGGAAGGAAAGAACAAAAACAAAACAGAAAAAAAGAAAACAGCAAAGAAAAGAAAAAAAACAGCTCCAAACCACATGGGAGATACGAGACATTTCCTTATTTCCTTTGAAACTCCCCTCGCCCCCAAAAAAAAAATTTAGGAAGAATTTTCAGAAGGCTGAAGAGAAAATTAATAAATCATAGAAGATAAGGGAGGCTCAGGGTACTCCCACCAAGGTAAGCACTTGAACTTTTTCTTCTAGGATACATTTAAATGCTACTAAACCAGGGATCAAACACGACATCAAATGAGAGACTCGCAACTATGTGTCCATGTTCTCTAGAAACATGTTCCAGGACGCTTGAGGCAATTTCTACCTGCTGGTCTTTGTTCTGTCTGCTGCAGAAAGTGGCTCGCTAGTCCCTCTATAGTCCACTTATCAAATCATCTCTTTTGGATTCTTGGGGTCCAGCTGAAGGTGCCTCGGAAAGAAAGTGATGTCCGTGAGAGAAGGTTCTGGTGTGACGCCAGAGAAAAAAAAAAAAAAAACAACATAGGTTTTCTCAAATTAAGTCAATGTTCTGTGGCAACAGATAACCCATAACCCATTCTAAAAAAAAAAACAAAAAAAAAAAAACCCCAATAATCCTCAAAATACTTGAAGACAGCTGTCACAGCTGTGTGCTCTCCTCTCCTGAGCTAAACACCTCACCCGTCTGTTCTTCAGGCAAGGTTGTTTTCTGTTCTGCATCATCAGTGGCTTTTTAGACTGCCCTCTAGTTACTCTCCCTGCCCCTCTCCTCTCTCTCACCCCTGCCCTCTCTCTGTGTTAATTTGAATGACAATGTCCCCTATACATTCTTGGATTTAAGCACTGGATCCCCAGTCAGTGCTGCTGATTTGGACAGACTGTGAAGCCTAGAGGAGGTGGAGTACCCCCCCGCCGCCGCCACCCCGGAGAAAGCACATCACTGGACAGACTTTGAGGTTTGGTAGCATGGTCCCCCTTTCCAGTCTCCTGTGCTCACTCTCCTGTGTGGGGGTGACGTGATCTCTCTGCTCCCTGGTTGTCAGTCAGGCCTCACACATACTTCTGCTCTCATGCCTTCCTCAACATGATGGACCAGGTCCCCTCTGGAACCTAAAGTCGTGAGCCCGAGTTAAGTCCTTTTCCCCTCTGAGTTGCTTTTGTCCGGGGAGTCTATCAGAGCCACAGGAAAGTAACTAATACAGCGGCCAAATCAAAACTCACAGATCTCGACTCAGATGTCTGTGAATGTTTTCATCTATAATTAATCTCACATTGCTCTCAAGTTCTTTTCCAGTTCATACTAAGAAAAAAAAGAACTTTCCTAATAAATCCCTCTTTTTCTGATTGAAAATACACACTGTAGTGCTACAGCTATTTCTGGGACACTAATTATATATCTTCGGTTAACAGAAAAATAAGGAATATGGTTTGTGTCCCCCAATGTTCCCATGTGGGTAAAAATCTCCCATTCAAAAGTGTTGGTGGGCATGACCTTTAAGAGGTGATACATACATCCTCGTGAATGGATTAGCGTTGCTGTCCGGGGTGCGTGGGAACCACAGGTTTCAGCTCCTTCACCACAATCTTCTCTTTTGCCTCTCTGCCTTCCGCCACAGATGAAGCATCCTGAAAGCCCCGGCCAGATGTCAGCACTACGCTATTAGACTCCCCAGCCTTTAACTCTAGGAACCAAATAAATGTGTATTCTTTATTAATCACTGTCTCTAACATTTGCACTAAGAAGACTGCAGCATAAGTGGAAGTTGCTTTATTTATGCATGATTTCTACTAGGGAGCCGAGACAGAGCTGGTGCCAACGGCAGGACCCACACCAACAGGGGAGGGAATGAACACGGGCCAGACAAATGATCAGAGAGACCTTTAGATTACCTTTTAAGAAGATTAAAAATGAACATCTATTAAGAGTCGTTTTCTTTAAAAAAAATGAATGTCTGAGGCTGGATATGATACCACCTGTTTGTAATCCCAGCCCTTGGGAGGTAGGGGCAGGAAGGTCCAGACCTCAAGACCATCCTCATCTACAGCGAGTTGAAGGCCAGTCTGAGCTATGTGAGAACATGTCTCCAACCAACTGTCATTGTCAAGACGTCCCATCCCACACCTGATCTCTGGCAGTGGAGTACCAACCTCCCGATGTGAGAACTGTGTTGAAAACTGGGTTGCTTGGTTTGTTCTCTTCCTCAGTTGTAGACCTAGCAGCCTACTTGCTGTCCTCCACCAGCACCCCAGGCCTTGACTGGTCCACAGGCTCCACTGGTCTCCATTTTCTCAGTGGTTACAGGATGGGGGCAGAGAAGCCCAGGCCCACCTTCTGGGCACCCCCTTCACCTCTCCTGCCCTTTCCCTCAGACAGAACAAACAGGGCACACTAAGGACTGTCACTTCATCATTTCATCTTGGGCTCCATCCTCCCACTATCTGGCTTCCCTGACAGCTCTATATCCAGATGCCCACCATTGGCCCTTGATCTCTAAAGACAAACATTTGAAAACTTCAAATCCCCCTCTGTGTCTCGGAAGGACCTGACGTTCAGGGTTAGTATCTCTATAATTTCGAAGACAGTCACATTGGAGTCTCAAAATGGAACAATGTTCCCATTGATCTTGGGCATTCTCACTTCAGCTGAAGGAATAATAGTCAATGACTTGGATAATGGAGCTCTGGATGATGGGGAGCTCGGGGATGTCAGGGATCAGGTTACTTCAGCCTAATCGTTTTAATTTGGATTGCTTCACTTGGTGACCAGAACTGAGCATGGAGGTTTGACCAGTATAAAAGTCAGAGTGACTTAAACCAGAAACGAGCTCACCTCAAGGGTGCTACTTTTCTCTTGGTCTTATGTTTGGATGCCCTGTAACCCAGTGAGAAGGGTTGATATGGACTACCGTCAGTTCCTTAACTCACACCAGGGAAGCCACTGAGCAAGCGCGCTGGCTGCATGCCTTCATTTTCTGTCCTCACTGCTGTGCGCCTGGGGCTTTGTTACTTTTTATTTAGCTTGTACAGTGTGCTGCTAAGGTTTCAGGTTTTTGTGGGGTTTTTTTGGTTTTGTTTTTAATTAGGTTATTTTTTTTTCCTCACACTAGTTCCATACAACTGCCAAGCACAGAAAGGAAATGATCCAGCCTCTCTTGGCAGATGGCTAGGCCACAACATGTCAGGCTAGATGATCTGGCCCTTCAGGAGGAAGGGTGTCCATGTTCCTGAAGGCAGCTGGGTAACCCACTCTTCTCACTCAGAAACACCTCCACCTCGTGTCTGTGTCCTCTGTAACCCTGGGCAATGTGATAAAGCAATCTTACTGCTTCTCTTTGTATGCAATCAATAAACTTCTGGAAACAGACCTCGACCTCGCTAAATAGTTAAACAAATGATAAACCCGCTAAAATTCTCCACCCCGAGCACAAGTCTTACAGCATCATTGGTCATAGGTATATGTTCTCATGTGCTGAGGGCAAACATGGAGTTACTCAGGAAAGAGGGTGGGTTCCAGAAGCCCCTGAGCTTGTAGACTGGCTTCTTTAGTCAGCTAGCTCTACACCCCAGCCAGAACTGCCATTTCAAAGTATAATTTCTGTCACATACCAAGCCCCTTCCCTCAACTTCCCAACAGCTTCTCATCATCTTCGATGAGAAGATACTGATGATTGCTGCTCAGTGGGGTAACTGCAGATGCTAAAGTGCTAGACATTTCCAAAAGCAAGAAGAAAGAGATTTGAAGGGTTGGAGCTTAGACAACTGATTTGAGGAGACAAATGTGTCAAATCTGATGTTACCTTATACAATGTATACTCACACCAGTCATCATGCATGCTGAAGCTGATTTAAAGTTATACAGTGTAGACACACATCAGTTGTCATGCATGTTGAACCTAATGTTACAGTATACAGCGTAAATAACATCAGTCATGATGCATGTCGAAATCGTTGAAATCCATATTCCATTATACAGTATAGGCACACATGAGTCATAATGTATGTTGAACCCAATGCTACATTATACACTGTACGCATGTATCAATCATCACACAATTCCATTAAGTGCACAATGTATGTTTTTATGTATCAATTACATCCTTATATATTCATGAATTGCCATATTTGATCTAATTGTTGTAATTAACTTACAGCGTAAATTCCTTGCTCTGACCTACAGGTCATCCACTGAGGAAACCCACTTCTCTTGGGGACTCATCAGCTCATGAAGCCTGTCACACTGGACTCTGTTGCTGGAGATCCTCCATGTCTGTTCCCACAGCAGGGGCCCCTGTGCTTAATTTTGCCTCTTCCTGGAATATATTTACTGAAGACATCTTATTGCTCATCTTAAGGGGGGTTTCTAAAAGTTCTTGCTTCCTACAATTTTATTGTTCAGTAACGATTTCATATCAACCATAGGACAGAACACAAAAGTTCCCTGAGGTAGAAACATAACAATATCCTGTCAACCTGACCACCACTTGAAAACATTGATGTGCATAAATTAAGGGAAAATACATTTTGCTCCCCTTTATAAGTACATAATCCTACCCTGACTCCACCAGTTTCCTACTGCTAGCTTCCAAGAAATTCCTATGGTAACAAATGACCACAAACTATGTGACTAAAGACAAGAGAAATTTCACTCATGATCCTAAGAGTCTGATGTCTAAAATCAAGGTTTTATCAGGAAATTTTTCCTTTTGAGATCTCTGGGGCACAAAACCATTTCATGCCTCTTCCGGCTTCCAGTGGGTGTGGCCATCATTGTGTCCCCTTTCCTTATATCCATATACCTTAATCTCTGTCTCCATCTCTAGGTCTCCCCTGTGTGTGGGTCCATAAGAATCTAGTTCAACGACGACTTCCCTTCTTGACCAGAGGTGAGTACCCGGGTCCAACCCGGACCCCATTCCTGGCCACCAGCCACTCCTGAGAGGCCTGCCCAGC